AGAATCTTTTAGCTATTGTATTGTCATGATGTCCAGCTTAGTTTTTTTTTATTTTTACTTTTTAATTTTTATTTTTATTTTTTTTAATTTTTACCTTTTGGCTTCCCTGTTATACATTTCATTTTTCTATTCATTGCTTACCAATGACTATTCTTCATTTTGTAGTTGGCTTTAATGCAGACAGTGTTTCAGGTATTTCTTTTGTTGTTTGCCCATTTGTTTATGCGCTTGTTCTATAGCTGCCAAGATTGGAGCTACAACCATGCTCTGACAGGTTCTTGTACAGTTGTCTCCCATGCAAGGTAATCTTGAGAAACATCAACAAACAGTCTTGGTTTCCTGTAAGGCAAGTTCTTTATGATGTATTAAGTATAATGAAAGAAATGTGATGGAGCCTGGATGACCAATCTAGGCAATGATATAGAGTGTGTGGTGGTGCCTAGAGATGAGTGGGATAAGAGGAATGGGGGCAATGGAGTCATTTAGGGAATTCCAGATTTACCTCAGTTGCATTCCTATCAGCTGTAGTCGTCCCAAAATATAGACTGCCTACGTATTTCTGGAAAGGAGAGACATAGTTTTCCACTCCAGAAGAAATCTTAGCAATTATTTTGTATAAGTGCATTGTAAGAAATAAGGGGAACAATCTGTGAACAAACTGAGAAGAAATACAGCCTAATAACTAAAATGTGAAGAGGCCCTAGGATCTACTTGCTATCATTTGAAAATAAGGCTTGTATTTCTAAGTTGCTCTAGAAGGAACTGTAATATATTACTGTGTTATTCTATCAGTAGGCACTTGTATGACAAAATAAAGTGAGGAATAGAAACAAAGTCCTTTGGAATATAAATCTAATTCTGAGTAATAGGTATTAGAATTTTGTCTCTAGTTATGAATATCCTACCCAAAGATTTATTCCATTTACCTTGAGGTGACTGGTACTCATCTCTATTAAAAAAAAAAAAAAAAAGTGCAGACCTAGAGAGATTGCTGATTTGAGGCATGAAAGGGGTAAAGTATGAAATCGTATTTTTTTCCTTAAATTACCAGTGTCATAATTTCAGTATATGCTGAGATGATAAGACAGGTGAATTTGAAGAAATTATTTACAAAAACTGCAAAAGAAAAAAAAAATCTTCAAGTAAAGTATGGAACACATGCTTACTTATTATGTTTATCTGGGCATGGAATTGCTCTTGTGAATGTTCACTTGCATTCTGAATGTTATTTTTGTTTACCAGTATGTTACACTCTGTACACTAGTGACTAATATATGCACTTGCAAATAAAAATATTTACATATAGTACTTTATATTACTATCATATAATATTTATTGCTTTCTTCACTCAAGGAAGAGTTTTAAATTCAATATAAGTCCATAAAATACTATACATTTTTGTATTATTTTCTTTTGGCTTTAGTTTTATAGAGGACGTTAAAGGAGAAATAAATCCAAAATATTCTTAAATACTTTCTAGTTAAAATGACACAGGACTTAGTTATGGCAGTATAATCAAATCTTTTAACAGTAATTTATAATGTACTATTAGTACTGTGGAACATTCTAACTTGTGTATAAAGTGTAAGAACATGGAGGGGAATTCATACTTCAGATTTGTATTCATTTTTCACAATGTCAACTCAACCTGGCCGCTGGAGTGAAATGGAACAATAAACTCTTACAAATACAACAACAGAAAGAGTAGGACTAAGGAGAATCTCCATTCTTTACGGGGAGCGTGACAACTGAGGATAAGGAAAAGACAGAGGTTCTGAATGCCTTCTTTACATTTGTCTTTAAAAGTCAGACCAGTTATCATCAGGGTACTCCATTCTCTGAGTGTAAACAGAACCCCCTGTGATTCAGGAGGACTCTACTAATCCAGCTGGACTGTCACAAGTCCATGGGGTCAGATGAGATTCATCTGAGAGTGCTGAGGGAACTGGTGGGAGTGATAGCCGAGTCACTTTCCATGACCTATTAGCACTCCTTGTTGATTGTTGAAGTCCCAGAAGACTGGAGACATGCCAGTGTGACTCCCATCTACAAGAAGGGCTGTAAGGAGGACCAGGGGAACTACAGGCCTCTTAGCCTGACCACAGTGCCAGGGAAGATTATGGAGCAGATTGTCTTGAGGGAGATCACATGCAATACAACCGGGGAATCAGTGCTAGCCAGCGTGGGTTCACGAAGGGCAGGTCCTGCTTGACCAACCTGATCGCCTTCTATGATCTAGTGATCCGTCTGGTGGATGAGAGAAAGGCTGTTGATGTAGTCTACCTAGACTTCAGCAAAGCCTTTGACATTGTCTCCCACAGTATTATCCTGCAGAAGCTGGCAGCCTGGGGCTTGGACAGGGCTTGGACTCTCTCAGCTGGATAAGGAAGTGGCTAGAGGGCCGGGCCCAGAGAGTGATGGAGAATAGAGTTAAATTCAGCTGGTGACTGGTCATGAGTGGTGTTCCCCAGGGGTTGGTGCTAGGGCGCTTTCTTTTCATTATCTTTATTGATGACCTGGATGAGGGAACTGAGTGTATCCTCAGTAAGTTTGCAGATGACACGAAATTGGCTGGAAGTGTTGATCTGCCTGAGGGGTAGTAAGGCCCTATAGAGGGATCTGGACAAGCTGAATAGTTGGGCTGAAGCCAATGGGATGAGGTTCAACGAGACCAACTGCTGGGTCCTGCACTTTGGCCACAACAACCCCAGGCGATGCAACAGGCCTGGGGCAGAGTGGCTGGAACTGTGTAGAGGAAATGGACCTGGGGATATTGATTGATGCTTGGCTGAACATGAGCCAGCAGTGTGCCCAGGTGGCCAAGAAGACCAACAGCATCCTGGCTTGCATCAGAAACAGTGTTGCCAGCTGAAACAGGGAAGTAATTGTCCCCTGCACTCAGCGCTGGTGAGGCTGCCCCTTCAGTACTGTGTCCAGTTTTGTGCCCCTCACTGCAAGAAAGACATTGAGGCCCTGGAGCGTGTTCAAAGAAGGGTGATAAAGCTGGTGAGGCGTCTGGAGTACAGGTCTTACGAGGAGTGGCTGAAGGAGCTGGGATTGTTCAGTCTGGAGAAGAGGCTCAAGGGAGACCTCATTGCACTCTATAACTACCTGGAGGGACGCTGTAGCGAGCAGGAGATTGGCCTCTTCTCTTGTGTAACTAGTGATAGAACTACAGGGAATGACTTTGAGCTCCACCAGGGGAGATTCAGGCTGGACATTAGGAAATACTTCTCTGACAGAGTGGTCAGGTGCTGGAATGGGCTGCTCAGGAAGGTGGTGGAGTTGCCGACCATGAAGGTGTTCAAGGAATGTTTGGATGTTGTGTTGAGGGACATAGTGTAGTGACAAGTATTGATGATAAGTGGATGGTTGGACTGGATGATCTTGTAGGTCTTTTCCAACCTTGGTATTTTTGTGATTGTGTGATGTCAGGCAGGTATCTCAGCTCCCAGTATTGCTGATGGAGAACTGATGTATGATTCACTGACACACACACAATTATCTGAATTGTCTGAATCTTTTTGGGATTTAGCATACTCATGACTATCCAACCTAGCCACTAGCTGTCAAACCAGACAGCTTCCTTTTAAGAGAGCCTCTGGAATTTCATATAAATCCTTTATCATTGTCAGCAGTTTACGAGCAGTTTCAGCCCATTCCATGACTAGCAGAGCAGAGGGATTTGTGAATCCACACCTCCAGAAAAGGGAAACGGAGGACCCTGAATAATTAAAAACAGCAGCAATGATCTGAGGAGAAACAAACTAATTTACTAAATTTGGAATTGGAATGAAAGATAGCACGCTAGAATACATCATAATATAATTAGAATTGGAGCTAATAAATCAAATAAAATGAGAGTGTCCGAAATGTGGAAAGGCCTTACCATAATGCTGAGATGAGACATGCCATCGGGTTGATCAGCAGGGAGGAGAGGCTGATGATTGAAAAGAGGTACATTGGATGATATCTGTTACCCATGAGCAGAAATGATAACAGTACAGCAAAGTTTTCCGGGGAATGTAGTTCTTCTTCTCTTCCAGATGGTGCCCCGAACTGGAGCATTAACTCTTTAACTCCCAGTGCACTACATGATGTTATGATGTGTAATACCAATAATCAAAAATCATAAAACATGACAATCATATATATCAGTTTCACATATATCCAAGGATGCCTTGGATGTTTGAGGAAATCTCAGATGCAATGCATCAGACTCTTTAGGGAAGGTGCATTTCTTTCTTAGGTGCCTGCTTTATTATATAGACATATAAGCTGGGATATTTTAACATAGCACTGAATCCAAGCCTTTTTGTTATCTGCAGATAGAATGCAATTATATGCATTTATGCATATGTAGTGAAGTGCATATATATGTATATCTATTTTCTGTGTTAGGAAAGGTCATCCCTACCAGTAGTAGATGAGTTTACACTCTGGGGTGTTTTGTTCATTTTCCTTTTTGGAGAAAGAGAGAAGATTTTCTGTTTTACATATTCTTACTTGAAAATAGGACTTTAAACATAAAACTCATAAAGTGCTAAGCAATTATTTCTTGATATCACTTTTACAGAAGGTTATGGTTAGCAGCATAAAGTTCATGTGGAGTCCAGTTTATCCAGCGGTTGGACTTCTTCAGTAATAAGACAGTGCAAAAGACTTTACTGTCAGCAAGTTCTCACAGAAACTACAGAAATGGGAAGAATAACAAATAGTTGTTAGTAGTATTCATAAGATGGAGAAATCTGATAAAAACTTAATGAAGTTCAACAAAAGGAAATGCTAGTCCCTCATCTAGGAATGAATAACCCATGTATTTGTTGTACACTGATGCTGACTGGCTGGAAAGCAGCTTCATGAAGGACCTGAGAAAACACGTTGAACATGACCTAGCAACGTGGCCTGGCAGTAAAAACAACCAAAAGCCTCCTACACTGAATTACGAAAAACATTGGTAGCAGGTCAAAGGAGATGATCTCTACTGAGCACTGAAGAGTCTACATCTGCAGTGCTGTATCCAAGTTTGCGTTTCCCAGGGGAAGAGAGGCATGGATATGCTGGAGTGAGTTCTGCAATGAATTGTTAAGATTTTTAAAAGATAGAAACACTTTTCATGCAAGGAGAGGCTGAGGGAGCTGGGACTGTTGAGGCTGAGGAAGAAAAGCCTCACGGTGTTCTTACCTGATATAACGTATAAATACCTTAATATGAAGTGCAAAGAAAATGGGCCAGACCTCTTAGTGGTGCTTAGTGACAGGACAAGAGGCAATAGACAAGGCTGAAATGCAATAGCATTGAATGTAACATTTAAATGTAAAACAATCAAGAAAACATTTTTGCTGCGATGGTTTTAGCAATGGAACAAATGGCTCAAAAGTACAGTAGAATCTTCATTTTCAGAGACATTTAAGTATCAACTGGATTCTCTTGAGCAGAATCTCTACAAAATAACTCTAGAGTTTTCTCCAGATTATCTTCATGGCTCCCTTCCACAATTCTGTCTATCTGTCATTCTGTGATCTTTTTGTAGAATTTACTTTTAAGAGAAAGATTTTCATAGTCAACTTGTTTTTGACATAAAATATTGTTAAAGGAAACGTGATTGTTCATGACGATACAGGTGTAAAAAACTTACAAAAATATTATACAAACAACTTTGTTGATATTCAGGCCTAAAATCAGATAAACTGATGTTGCACAAGCTGTCATACATTTTACTAATCCTTTATTACAGAACTGTGAATGGGGATAAACAAATGGCAGTAAGACATACATTACAAGACAGAGGAAAACAGTTACCAGAGATTGAGAAATAGTGTTACCAAACTAATCAGCATAAATGTCATATAATCCACTATTGTTGTACAGCCTGCTCCAGTTGTATGTAAAGTGCTGGCATTGATGGTTTGATGGATTTGCTTTATGTCACTGAGGTTCGTCTTATCTGGCATCCCTATTGAGACAAATAAGAAAAAACATTATGATGCATGCCTCTGTCAGTTCTGGCAACATGTTACAGCTAGAAAATGTGTGTGTTTCTTCAGCACATGTACTGTCACTGTTCAGCGTCTGATTCTCAAGTTTCTGCCAAATTAAAAATCCTTTATGATTGCATCTACAAAGACACAATAAAGTATATGACTATTAATCATTGAAGATATGTCAAAGGTCCACCAGCTATGAACAAAGAATTTCTTGTACAAGATTCTCAACAAACATTTTCAAACCAAGATGAACAGTTTTGCAAGTTGCACAACAATTCACTACTTACATATTTCTAGGGTTTGAAGGGATAATAAAATAATTTCACATGACATTGGTTCTATCTAGATCACAATGTTTTTCCAAATTAACATATACCTGATGCAAGAGGTACAGTAAATTATGTTTGTTGCTATATAAAAACCTCCCTTTTTGTGCAATTTTCCTGACTTCAGATAGGATTTTTTTTACTTTTTACTTTTTTTTTTTTTTTTTTTCTGGGCAGAATAGTTTTACTTTTCGGACCAGGATAAAAAATTATCCAACTCAAAAGAGTGCTTTATATGGAACAAGGACATAATCATCCATTGTATTTCCTGTACCTGTTTAAACAATCAAAAACCAAAAGTCTTGGAGACACATCTAAATTTGGAAGTTTTATAAGGTCCTTACATTTGCTATTCATACTGTTAGACTATCTTACCCTATATAAAAATTTGTGGCATGCCACTATCAGTCAAAATTAACAAGTCTAAAGACGGTGTTATTACACGCAACAAATACTGACATTGTAATTACATTCATATAAAGCAATGTCGATATTTCTGTAATTAGGTCAATACATATATAATTAAGTAGGTAAACTCTACTATTGGAATGAAGCTCATCACTACTGAGCTGATATATAATTTACAGTCTAAGTTCTTGCATTCATTGTTTAGGTACTTCTTTCCTTTGTATCATTTGTAAAGATGAGTAAACTAGGAAACATCTTTTTGTTTTTGGGCTGTGATGAATTATAAATATTTTAGTCATGGTGTTGTCCTCTGTTAAGCTAATTTAACAGAAGCTACAGAGAATCATCATTTTTGATAGGAACAACTTTTTCATTGCTTGAGTTATAAATACTCTTTTTTTCTAAAGGCAGCTTGAAAGCTGCTCTTTGTGAACCTGCTATATATACCCAAATATCCTCCTATCCTTCCTGTAGCTTTGAAAAAATACATTAAAGGAAGAGTCAGTTAAAGTCAATCATGTTGCCTGAAGAATCTGCTAGGATGAATTTATCTTCTTTGTAGCTGTAGTCAGACAGGAAAATAGACTGCTATTTTGTGGATTTATCGATCCAGAGCTCTTACTTGGAATTTGTGAAAATTAGCTATTTCAGTACAATGCAAGTAGACATACAAGGAGGAAGAGAAACAATAAAGGCTAGCAAGAAGAGAAGAAATTTCTCCTTATCATGCACATTTAGTAGCAGTCTGTCTAGAAAAAGATGAGGCACTCAGTGCTTCACTGAATGGATGTTTGGTGGATCACCAAAGAGCATAGATCAAAGGGTTTTTTTTCCAAGGCAATTTTGGAAGTAGAACTAAAACAGTTTTTACTCATGCACTTTCATCTCTTAAAATTAAAAAAAAAAATCTTTATTTAATAAACAATTCAATTCCTAGACTATACTTATTTAAATAATAGTAATTATTATTGTAGTATTTAAATAAACATTTTATCCATTAAACATTCAGATTCAGACACTTAAAACATCTTTCAGATATCATAATCAGTCATGGAAGTGATCCTTCCCTTTAAATGAGTTTAACACTCCTAATTCATAGAAAACTTGCAGTAATAACTCTACAAATATTCGTAGCAAAAAATAAATAAATAAATAAAATCAAAATGTAGGAGGAAACTCTTCTGTTTTTACTCTCCCCAGTTGATAAAATAACTGAATAATTTATAGACTAAGGCAAAAAAAAAAAAAAAAGAACAACAACAAAGAGATTAAGAAGAATGAAGGAACAGTGGTGTCAGAGTAACGGGTTCAGAAATTAACAGATAGCAAGAGCTAAGACAAAGTTATTGAGTCAAGAAAACATCACCACTGACGAATATCAGCTAAATATGAGAAAATGTATTGGTAAATTTTCAGAAATAAATAAATAAATAAATAAATAAGGACTTTTCATTAGCATTCCACAAACTAAAAAGGGACAGAAGTTGCTAAACATTTTCTTGACTTCAACCAGCTGAAACTTTTGAGCTCCTAAGAGATGTCTCCTCCCTTTCTTTTCCAAGTTTTATTCCTAAATATACAATATCAAGAAAATTTTCAAATTGTATTTACATTATCTACAGATTTATATTCAAATGCCTCATGCATGCTTCAGTTTTTACATACTGGTTGCTGTTGCAATTTTCATTTCTTGCTTTGAAATATAAATTCCTTTACTGAATAGTCACTAGGTAAGTAAAACTCACTAATTCATTATATACCAGGTTCTTTCCCAAACAGTGCTTTTAAATCATTCATCTTAAAAAGCATCACAAAATTCTTAACAGTATCTAGTTCTTTGAAAGAAAAGTACAAACAATAGATTATTACAAGTTATATTCAGAGACTACTCCACAGGAAATTCATGTGATATTTTCCATTAAGTCTCAATGAGGGGAGAAAAACGTATCTCAGAAAAACAGTATTATGAAGGATATCTGGCAAACAATTAATTTCTTGATGTTGTTTTCATATTTTTATGACTATATATATCTATACTTGCTGAAACTAATGTTTTATACTTTAAAAAGAAAGTGTGCACCATATTACACATGGAGATGTCTTTATTATAGCACACTTGTAACGCATGTATTCACACTCTTCAAGTACTGCAGGTGTTTTTTATAATGTAGTGCATGGTTTGCCTTCTCCACTGAACAGAAAATGAAATGAAAAAGGCTGGAGGGCTGGACTGGGTTTTCTCAAAGGTCCATTCTGACCTTGGCTATTCCATGATTCTTAAGCATTAAATGTTTCACAACTCAGCAATAATAATAAAACAAACAAATAAACCACAACAAAAAGTGGCTTTCAGTAACAAGTAATACAGAAGAAGGAACATACATTACTTTACTGTTCTTTGACTGAATTGATTTAGAAGAGGTGAAATGTGATGTAAGAGATATCTGAGAATTAAACCAGAAATTAACACAATGGAAGATGTGTCTTTTTTATTTTCTTTAGCTTCCATTTATTAAAGAAGAAATTGACAACTATCTAAAAAGGCTAAATAAATGTTAACACTCTCAAACATTTTTCCAGTGGAGCTTTGTTGGGTTTTAGGCTTTGATTTTAAAGAAAAATAAATTATCTAGCAGTGCACATCAGTTTGCCTTATCTGAATTATAAATCAATTTACTCAGCTGAACTTCTTAATACTTCAAGATTGCTTTTCAGCTAAGCCCTGTTTACTTCAAGGTTCATGAGAAAAGGGCATAATGAGTCAAAATGATTTAGATGAATAAAGGCTTTTGCTTTATGGAATCTACTGCTATGAGGTCTGCTCCAAAAGTAATGCCTCCTATTTTATTATGCTGGCCCACAACATCAGAGATGGACTTTGGCAGTATGGCAGTAGAACAGGCATGTCCAACCTGTGTCTTGTGGATAGCATGAGGCCCAGCATGGCTTGCAGTGCAGCCCTGACTGAGCTCTTCCTTGCAGAGTGACCCCAGGCATTTACCTATCACTAAGCAACAACCAACCTGTCACTGCACTATTAACACAGTGTCAACTGGAACCACGTCATGGTGAAGCAGTGCTGTGTAGTGCTGACTAAAATGATGGCAAATACTTGTATGCATTTTGATACACTGGCTAAACACGGTGCTCTGGAGAATGAAGAATACGCAGCTGTGCTTTTCAGATTGATAAAGCAGTTTGAGAATAATTTCAAGACTGCAAAAAAAATCATCAATTTATGTTTGCGACAGCACATTCAGTTTATATATACACGTTACCTGCAAATTTTCAAATGGAATGTATAGAGATGCAATTAGATATTCAACTCAAAAATCTGAACATGTATTTTTACCAGAATTTCATGAGACCTGTCTTACCAGAGAAACTATCTACACCAACACACGCAGCATGGGCAACAAGAGTTGGAAGTGATTGTGCACCAGGCTAACTACGACCTAATTGCCATTACCATTGGTGAGACCACTCCCACGACTGGAGTGCTGTGATAGATGGCTGCAAGCCCTTCAGAAGGGATAGACGAGAAAGGAAGGGTGACGGAGTGGCCTTTTGTATTAAAGACTGTTTTGATGTTAAAGAGCTTGGGGTTGAGAATGATAGAGTGGAGTGTCTAGGGGTAAGGTCTGGGGGGAAGGCCTGTAGGGGTGACATCTTGGTGGGGGTCTGTTTTAGACTGCCTAATCAGGATGAAGAGATGGATGCGGCGTTCTGTGAGCAACTTGTGGAAATAGTGCATTTGCCAGCACTTGTTCTTGTGGGAAACTTAAATTTCCCTGATATATGTTGGAAATATAATACAGTGCAGAGAAAGCAGTCCAAGAGGTTTCTAGACTGTGTGGAAGATAGCTTCCTTAGGCAGCTGGTAGGTGAGCCTACCGGGGGTGGTGCCTTGCTAGACCTGCTCTTCACTAACGGAAAAGGACTGGTGGGAGATGTGAAGGCTGGGGACTGTCTTGGACAGAGCAATCATGAAATTATAGAAATCTCTATTCTTGGCGGTCAGAAGGTTGACTAGCAAAACTGCTATCTTGAAAGTCAAGAGGGTGAACTTTGACTGTTCAGGATGCTTGTAGCACGGGTCCCTTGCGAGTCTCTCCTTAAGGGTAAAGGGATCCAGGAAGCCTGGATGCTCCTCAAGATGGAAATCTTAAAGGTGCAGGAACACGTTGTCCCTAAATGCTGTAAGGTGAGATGTAGGGGAAGAAGATCAGTGTGGA